GACTTAATCATCTTAGACGCGCCATTGGATTTACTGACTCTGAGAGGACTAGTTGTCAGTTTAGGCACTTGTATTCTCTAGCTTGGGCTAGCCCATTAGCCTCTGTATTAGTCAGCTTAAGCTGTAACAACTAACCCCTAGATCTCAGTGGTTTATAGCAACAAAGATCTATTTTTGCCTACATTGTAGACCTTTGAGGGTCAGCTGCAGCCCTACTTCATGTCCTCTTCACGCTGCTATGATGTGCTGGCCTCTTCAGAGGGAAACCAGTGTAACAGTGGACCTTCCTGATGCTCTCAGAGCTTCTGCTGGCAAGGGAAGGGCACAGGGTCGGCCTGCTCATATTCCATTGGCCAAAGCAAGTCACATGGCCAAGCCTGACATCCCAGGCAGGAATATGGCCCTCCTCAGGGAGGGGCCTATATGATGAGACGGGGAATGTACAGAACATACAATCTATTGTAGACTCCTACTTCTCCTTCCTGATGATCAGCCTCTCTCCATTCCTGGCTGCCATCACACCAACTGGGTTTTATTTTTATTTTTGAAAAACATTCATTTTAATGTTTAAAAGACAGACAAAAAATGATAGGTAGAGGGAATCCAGACCAATTGGAACTGAAACAGCTGTAACAAAAATGAACACAATACAATGATTTGACCTCATGAAGGAACTGACTCAGATAAAAATTTCACAGGTCTTCATTTTTGTAATAATATATGAATGCACAAAATATAAAAAACACAGAGTATGAGTTTTCCCCCTTAGGTTTATAATAAACTATCAAACCTCTGTTTAGTACACTGACTTTTACGAGCCCTCTTTGTTGAGAAGGACACACTATGCAAGTATATGCTAGTATTTTACCGTAAGAATTATAGTTTTCATCTCAAACTAGTGACTTGCCTTTTTACCCATAGCTATATATATTTCATTTCCATTATAAGACACTGAAGACCTTTCTAGTGGCAAATTTTAATCAACATGTTACATAAAAAAAAAATCTTGATTTTTAAAATGAGTCTTTTTAGTACTGTAACATGATGGGGTTTAATTGAACAGTTGAAGCATGATAAGGTGACTATATTGTACTGTTTAAACTAGTTCACAGCTGTAGGAAAATGTTTGATTTTAAAAATATAACCAAGATGAGACTGCCTAATTATGAGCAGTAAAATATTAGGAAACAGTGAATGAGTAAATAAGATGATTTTTCATCAGTGCCCATTCATTATTTTGCT